GTCAGAATACGACAGGGGCAGCTGGGGATTGATAGCCAATGGGCAGAGTGAGAGAGTCAGTGCTAAGAGGATCCTGGTTAGACAGCAACACTGGGATTCCTGCTGAACTGGGCTTGGCAGTCCGAGGATGAGGACTCAGAGGAGTTTGTCCGAAGGTTGGTCAAGGAGGAGTCTTGTCAGGGAAGCGGTAGGGTCCTGGCAGGTGTCCTGAGGGAAAGGTGAATATTGCTGCCACCTGCAGGGTGTGATGATCAAGGGCCAGGCTCCGCACTCAGATTCCCTGATTTCCTAAACCAGCTCTGCCACTTATAGGCTGTAGGATCTAGTTATCTAACCTTTTTGAGCCTCAGTTTCCTTATCTGTAAAACAGGGATGATCATAGCATCTCTATGGGGTTATTGCAAGGACTAGGGGAATTAATATCTGTAAGACCCTGGGACATTTTCAGGCACAGGGCAGCCACCACCAATGCTGGCCGTTGTGATGAGACCCACGCTTCTCCGCAGTGCTCTTCTGAGCTGCAGACATGAAGGAAGCAGGCTGATTTGCCACAGATCAATTTGCTGAAGAGCTGATTTGCTGAATGACTCATTTGCTGTATTCCTGAGGACATTTTCTGAGGTTAAGTTTTCCCCCACCCCCCACCTCTATGACACTGCACTGTTACACAGGAAGAAGTGGATTTTCCTAGGAATAGACTTTACTGTTTTTATTTCTGGACCCAAGTCCTGCTCAACATCTGCTCCATCCCCCTGAAATGTCCCATTCTTTTGCCCACCCTTCTGTCCCCATTCTATGGGCACGTTGGTGGGTGTTCCCTTAAACCCACTTTACTGTTCTCACCATTTCTGTTGCTTTGCCTCACACAGATTTGTTACCTCTCTTCCCTGGGTGACAGAGATGCAAAAAGGATTACTCAAAGCACATCTCTCCTGAACAGTGAGACACTCTGAAGGGGTTAACTTCCCAGAACCCTCAAGAGAGAGGCATTCCTCCTTTGGGAAATTAACACTGAACTGGGATTCTGTCTCAGTATTTATTCTCCAAACCAGAAAGTTACAGAAAAGCAACATAGGTGGAGGTATGGCTAAGTATAGTTTAACAATAGAGGCTGATAACATCAGTGAAATAACAAAGTGACATTCCATAATGCAATTTGCAAAAGGTGAAGTTGATCCACCAACAAAAGTTTGCTCCTAGCAAATACTGTGTTCTCCTACAGCAGTTTCTTCAGTATTTTTACATAACAATAGAGTAACTTTAGGTTAACCTGCTCCAAAGAAGTCTGTCCTTGAGCCAGCAACTTTGCTTCTTTACAATTCTGTATCCACAACAGAGACTTTAGCCTGGGGAAAGTTTCCTGTCTTTTGCAAGGTTAACATTTTTATATGTAATTTTAAATGGTTAGGTTATGCCTGAAACTACAGGGCTTTGGAAACTAGGCCCTGTGAAATACATTTGCTTTATAAATGTTAGTATACTCCACACATTTCTGTGGACTTATTTCTCTGTCTCTGGCAAAGAAATAGCAGTGACAGAATATTCTAGGTCTCAATGTCTTACAATTTTGGTGAATTGGCTTATCTCACATTGACTTTTGGTGAAGCGCCAGAAGCAGGCTCTGGGCTTAAAGTCAGCCTGGCTGCTCCAGGTATCAATGGTCCCATGGCCCTCTGTACACCAGTGACTTGCAAGTGGTTTACATCATTGTGTCCCCTGACCCTTTGAATTATGCCACAAGAACAGGTGCTAAGGGCTAATTAATTGGTCTGTTGACAAATCTCTATCTAAATTTAGGAGATTGTTGTGCAAAATGGAGGTGATTACTTCCTTCACATGTTCATTCAAAAATCACCATGCCTGAACTCTTAGACCCTAGGAATAGAGAAATGAATAAATTATGGCTCCTACTCAGGAGGATCTCATAGTTTAACGGGAGACAGAAATATAATTATTGTACATACAGTGTGACAAACAAATGTCACTATAGGTGCATTCATGAAATACCACCAGGAGTTTAGAGGAGGGAGTCAGGAGAGGCTTCCCAGAGAAGGGGAGATTAATCTGTCTGCATTCAGGCCCATGCCACTTGAGGAAAGCCCACACACAATTTTATTCTCTGCCTGAATATTAAACCTGTGGGACTTGCCAGTGAACGGTGATAGAATTAAATACATTTTGTTGTAAAAGATTGTGCCTCAGAGTTTTGAAGGAGTTTCTGAAATACAGAAAAACATAGAGAATAAGGTAATCAGCCTCCATGTCCTATTACTCGAAATCCATAATTTAAACCACTAATATTTCAGATAATTTTTTGAATATTTAAAGAAGATAAAATAATATAATTAAGATGAAGTATTCTTTGGGTCTTTCCCCAGATTCAATCTTCCTTTTTCCTCCCCAGAGGCAATACTATAAATTTGGTATGTATTTGCCTACTTTATTTAAAATGATTCCATCACGTTTCAATGAATATATATCTCTAATATTGCAGAGTATCATTTTATGCATTTTAAACCTTTACAGAAGTTCTGTGTTATGCATAGCATAACATCCTAAAGCTTGTTTTGCATTCAACATTATGTTTTCCAAGATCTAGCCATCTTGATATATTTACTAGCTTATTAATTTTAAATGCCATATAGCAATTTTCTATTGAATGACTATTCCATAATTCATTTATAAATTTTCCTACTAATGGATATTTAGATTTTTTTTCTCTTATCAACAATTCTGCAACAAGCATTGTTTATACAGCTCCTGGTGGAAAACTGCAAACATTTTTGGATTGTAGAATATGTGCAATACCAGATAATGCCATATTGCTCTCCAAAGTGACTGTACCAATTTACATTTCCACCACATTTTAATGCATCCTTATATTAAACATCTGGTATTGTCAAATTTTTTGATTTGCCAATTGGATGTGTGAAATGGCACCTCCTTGCCAGCTGTGTGCTGGAACTGGCTTGGATTGCTTGGGAGAGCTGATTGTGTGCCTCTCTTCCCAACTCTGGGTTCAGTGACTTCACAATGTTAGCTTGAAATTGGCCATGGTTAGAGTATTTACACCGTGGAAACTGGCAAACACTACTACTTGGGCTTTCCCCTTGGACAGCCAGTTGCTAGGCATTTGCCAGCACACCACTGCCTACTCAATGGCTCTTGAGGTCCATTTTCCTCCCTAAACTCATCTCACATGACTCCAGGTTACCAGATTGATGAAAGCCCTGTTTGTGGCTGAAGGTATTAACATGGGGTAGTTGTGGTGACTACAGGTGTCATAGATTTTGACAGAGTCTCAGCCACACTACTGTTGCGGATTGAAGGAGGCACCAGGTAAGAAAGAGACTCTCTGGTAAGCAAAATTTTTAAAAAAACATAAAACCCATTAAAAGTTTTTTTAATTGAAAGGATAAGCAAATACATATTTAAATACATTAATATCCTCTCTTTTAAAACTCCCATTCACTAAACAAACTTCTGCAGATATGTATTTATTTATTTTTCTGGAATTTATTTCATAGTGTATGTTGTAATCTACTCCATCCCTTTTTATAGGTGCAGGGATTATAGATATACCACAGATAATTCAATCAGTTCCCTACCAGTGGACATTTAGTTTGTCTCCAGCTTTTTGCTTATACAAAAATGCTGTAATAAATAGACTAATGCATGGATTATTTTGTGTTTTTGCTAAAGTATGTTTAGGCTAGATTTTGTGGATAGAATTTTTTTTTTGCAAGACATTTAAGAAACTGGTGTATTTATAGGGCACATGTAGACATAGCAAGTAGGCAAATGTAATATAATGCATTTCCTGGTGTTGATAAAACACAAATGGTACATAACACATATTCATTCTGAAGTCTTTCCTTTTAGAATTCCAGATTGCAATTCTTGGTTTATTCCATGTCATTCCTGTGAAACACAAATTCTACACTGTCATTACATATAGAAGCAGAAGTACAAAAAATGATTCTATACTGCTGTTGAAAAGCAGAACACTACAGAGATTATACAACATCCTAAGGACATTCAATATTACAGAAAGAAAATATAACAAAATACAAACTAAGCTTCTAAGAGGTTTACCACTCATCTGTCATTCTGCAGATTGTAAGAGAGTCGGATGTAGGTCCAGCAGAGAAATAAGGACAAAGTTTTCTGTAAAAGTATCTGTGAAAGTATAAATATAAGATCTATTAGTGCAATTGTAAAATGAAATCTCTCTTAAGTTATAATCCAGAAAAATACCAATTCATGTGCTTTGTGCTCTGTCCCATGTCCCACTTGAATGCTGAATTTACCAGCAGCCATCTTTTGGTGATTGTGATGTCACAGCATTTCTGGGGGAAGAGTCCTTGCACACACCGAAGAAAAATTCACCCGGGCCTCTCACTTCTATTTGCCAGAAATGCCTGCCAGCATCAAATCCTTCAGAACTCAGGACAGCTGAGTAGAACGTAAATCTCCTGGGATTGTAAGGACCGTTTGCTCTAACCTGTCCATATTTTACACTTTGTCTGTCTTTTGAGATAATAAGATTGGGGTGGGCAGTTTCAGGATCTAGTGTCAAATCTATCTGAAATGTGCTAATCAATTTTTGTAGGCACAAATATTGTGGAAAGAGACAGAAACTGTCTTTCTTTAGTTCATATGAAATGACTCCTGGGGCTTTTAGGGTTTCATATCTGTTCAACACCTACTAGAAATCCAGGTCTGCCTGGACACACTTCTCTGCCATTTCACTTAGCAGACTTTTTTGGATAGAAATGTATTCTGATAATTGACCTTTATTTTCATTTAGGGTTTTTTCAACATCCTTTTTTTCCATCAGTAAATCCAGTAAAATGACATCCTGTTCCTCTTCCAGTAAGTGCATAAAGTCTTCATATTCTGAGTGAAATTCTTCCCTTTGTTTTTGCACCTTGCTGATCATCTCAGATGATTTTGAGACTTGATTTCTAAAACTGTCTTAGTCTCTTCAACTAGCTTCTTTAGTGGCTTGAGCAGCTTTTGAGCTTCCTCCTGTGACTCTCTGCAGCTTGCTCTGTGGGTGTCAGGTGGTGATCCTGGTGGTCAGAGGACACCCTGCACTGGGGACACAGTAGGGCCAGGTCCTTCTCACAGAAGAGATCCAGAACCTTACTGTGTTTCTCACACAGGGGTTTCTCTTCCTGATGTTTCTTCTTGCTCCTCCGGGTGGGAAGCTGCTTAACAATGTCAGTCATGTGGCATAACTGGGTGTCCCTCTTGAGGCTGTTGTCAGAGCAGTGGTGGAGGCAGATGGGACAGAGGAAGATGTCCTGCAGGTCTTCCCAGCACCGATGGATGCAGGAGCCACAGAAGTTGTGCCCGCAGTCAGTGGTTGCTGGGTCCCTCAGGTAATCCAGGCAGATGGGGCAGCTGGCATCTGCCTGGAGCTTGGCCAGGGAGGCTATAATAGAGGCCACTGTGCCAGGAGGGTTTCTGCCTGAGGAATCTCCTTTCTCAAAGGCCTAGTTCTCCAGAACCTAAGAAAAGTGAGAAACTGGTGAGTTCTTAGCGTTCTCTTTCCTGGGGAAGACTGAAAACTTCCAAGGCTCCCCAGGAATCTATAACTCCAGAAGCCTCTGCTTTTCTCTCTCTTCAGCNCCAGGAGGGTTTCTGCCTGAGGAATCTCCTTTCTCAAAGGCCTAGTTCTCCAGAACCTAAGAAAAGTGAGAAACTGGTGAGTTCTTAGCGTTCTCTTTCCTGGGGAAGACTGAAAACTTCCAAGGCTCCCCAGGAATCTATAACTCCAGAAGCCTCTGCTTTTCTCTCTCTTCAGCTCTAAGAGGTAAAGTCTCCCGACACCTACTGATCTCTTGGTGTTGGATCCACAGTTACTCAAATGCAGCTTTGCCATTTAGTTGTCTTTTCTGGAAAAAGCTGCAGCTTTGAAGAGCGATGGAAATGAATGACTATGTCAGGAATTCCAGACAGTAGGACACTTGTCATGACAATAATCCAGGTTCCTGACACCTGCGCTCTACCTGGGTCTAGCTCTGCAGAACTGTCCTTGTGTCCCAAGGGTGGATGGTGGTTCCCTCAGCAGCAACACGGACTCACAGCTCCTCCTTCCTTGCAGATCAGTCGTGTACTCCTCAGTCCAGGTCAGAACAGGCAACACAGCACAACTCCGTTCACCTTGAAGTTGGGGTGGAATTTTTGAGTATCTTACAGTGGATTAAAAAAACAGTTTTACTGAATTATAATTTACATAACTATAATTTAACATAGTTTGTTTCCAGCCTTTTG